AGTCCTTTACTTAAAAAAAAATCTGAAACAAAAATGAACAGTTGCACATAGGGTTAATTTATATCAAGTGTAGGGAAAGCACAGCTTGTGGACCATGTGTGCCCTACAAAGACATTTTTAAAGCTCTGAGTTCTCACAACATTCCAAAACTCCCAGTACTTTCCTGACCCAGGGAAAAAATTGACAACAAAATGCTCACGTAAGACTGCTATACACCACAGGGGGCATTTGCAGTCAAAAATTCAAAGGAAAAAAGGAACTGGGATACAGCAGGCATGCAGCCCCCTCAGATGCCCATGGAAAGATAATGTGCTTCCCCACCTTAGCCAACCCTTGACTTATTTAATACAAAACTATTTGACCTTTCACCAGGGACCTCAGAACAGATTTCCTTTTGAAGACATAAAAATCTTAACTTGCTACTTCAGGATTAGAACACGATAATCTGTAAATATTATTTTCCCACTTGGACACTTCTTTCAGATGAAGATAAAAATGACACTAACACATGGTACAACAAGAAGGATGAGAGCCTCAGTATGCACTGAACAAGGAGGATGAGGGCCTCAAATACACATTTTACCTTTGTAAAAATCACAAATAAATGTTTGATCTCAACTTTCAAGAAGTTTATGCAAACCAAAGATATGTTTCTAATCTCTCCCTTCAAATGCAAAAAAAGCAGAGGAAAGCAAATGGGAGGCCAAGGCTCCATAATGGTCTCCCTCCATGACTTATTGCAAGAACCATCTGTGAAGCCCTATAATTACTTGTAGTTAGTTCCAAGCCAACAAAGAAAAGGAAATGAAGTAGATTTATTCAAAGTTTTAGAAACAATCAAGTTGCTATGTTTCATGTACTTTTAGCACAAAAGCGATGGCATTCATATTGGGCTGGATTGAGATGCAATCATTTAGAATTGTTTACAATGGGTTGGATCCAGAATTAGTCACACTTGGCTCACATTCACTGATATCAATGGGACAAGTTAGTCATTACTAAATTAAGTCTCACTGACTTCAGCAAGTCTATTCCAAGCATACCTACAGTAGGTCTGGACTGAAGACTTTCGGGCCTTCTAACAAGTATCCAATAACAAGGTCTGGACCAAAGACTTTCAGGCCTTCTAACAAGTATCCAGGAACAAGAACTAAATATTTCATGCTGTCCCACTGTAAAACAAACATCCTAGCATGATAACCACCGCAACAAACAATACAATAAGAGTGTGTTACAACATACAAACTTTTAAATTGCAACTGCTGAAGACCACACTATATACAATATAAAAGTAAGAAAATACTCGGATGTTATGTTAAACTTTCTTTTCTTCACACTTTAATATACTAAATGGGGAGGTAAGAGAAGGGAAATAGCAGCAGCACACAAGACCTAAACTAAATGATTGAAATTCTTGTTTGTATTTCTATTTCTATATTTAATGTTTAAAAAGAAAGAAAACATAAAGATCTCACAGCTCTGTTTCTAACCTTCCTCATGAGATTTTCAACTCAGCAGAAAACACACATGTGCTCTTCAGCAAGAGTTTGATCAGCATGTGAAACTTTTCATGGCATAGATCTACCCAATTTCATCTGTTGCTAAAAATCGCATAAGAGGCTGTATTTAAAGGAGCCGGGTCACTATTCTGAGAATGAAGTTTCATCTCTTTCCAGGTCACAGAGACAATGTGTGCCCATAAAGGAAATAAATGGAAGAATATAATGACATTTTACATTAAGGGCACTGAATGTGTGGTTCTCCAGATGGTGATGGGTTGCAACTCTCCTGAGTTTTAGCCCACATAGCCAATTAATGATTACAGATGTTATATTCTAACTTTACCAAAGGGCCAAATGTCTGTTTCCAATATGAACAAATTTATTGTGGCATAAGTTTTTGTAACTTATATATGTATGAAGCACCCTCACCAGGTATTTGCTTGATTTATCAGAGTCTACACATGTAAACATGAGCCAGCATGGTGCACAACTTTGAGTGTCCTTCTCACACCAAAGATAGCTGGTGGGAAGGGAGGGGAAATGTCATCCAACTGTGCCCCAATGACACCAGAAATTACTTCCATCTTTATGAATTATTAATTTAAGGAGGGATTTGGAAGGCATTTGTGATCATAGCAATAGTGCCACAGCTGGGAATACATAGCATAGCAGGATATGGAACAGTTATGGGTCCACATCTCTAGGCCAGTGTTTCTCAAATCCTGTTCCTCCAGGCATTTGGAACTTCAGCTCAGGAATTGTGGGAGCTGAAATCCAAAACACCTGGAGGAGCACAGTTTGAGAAACATTGCTCTAATCTAGACCATAGAAGTAGTGCAGTAATTTGAGCACTGGTCTATGACTCTGGGGTACCAAAGTTCAAAGCCCTACTCAATGGAAAACCACTGGGTGACTTTAGGCAAGTCACCGCTGAGGAAGGTGATGACAACCCACTATGAACAAATCTTGCCAAGTAAACCAATGCCAAGTCTTATGCAGGCCTGCAGAACCTTGGACTCCAGCTACCAGAATTTAGTATTGGAAAAGCTGGCTAGGGTTTCTGGAAGTTGGGAGACCCAAATCCCTGGAAGGCCGCAGGTGGTGCACTGGATTAAACCCTTGTGCCAGCTGAACTTAAAGGTCAGCGGTTCAGATCTGAGTGAGGTGTCCTCCTGTCTGTCAGCTCCAGCTCCTCATGCAGGGACATTAGAGAAGCCTCCCACAAGGATGGTAAAAACATCCAGGCATCCCCTGGGCAGCATCCTTGCAGGTGGCCAATTCTCTCACACCAGAAGCGACTTGCAGTTTCTCGAGTCACACCTGACATGAAAAAAGCCCTATGTCTGACAGGACTTTGAAGGTACACAATAAAAGAAAAGCTAATACCTGCATAAAGAAACAGAGAGGAATATGCAGAATGTCATGCAATACTGTATTTCACCGCATAATAGTCATATTTTTATTCTCTTTCCATCTTTAAAAAGGGAAATGCGACTATTATGCAGTGAAATACACTCTTTCTCTTTTCCACTGACTTTTTCCAGTTTTTGTGCCTTTACCAGCCTGCGCACCTGCCCTTTGAAGCTACAACGTACCTTGGGAAGCACCCGTACCTTGGGGAGTCTGACTTGGCCATGGTGGTCCACACTTTGATTACATCCCGTTTAGATTACTGCAACGCTCTCTACGTGGGGTTGCCTCTGAAGACTGCCCGGAAGCTTCAATTAGTCCAACGTGCGGCAGCCAGACTACTAACAAGAGCAGGGTACAGGGAGCATACTACTCCTCCGTTGCTCCAGCTCCACTGGCTGCCAGTCAGCTTCCGAGCACAATTCAAAGTGCTGGTCTTAACCTTTGCTCTGGAAATTAGCATTCGACGAATGAGCCTTGATCCTGTGATATGGGTAGATGACGATGAATAATGACTTTTGATGACTGACCATTGTAATTATATGACTGTATTTTGCTATTTGAATGTTTTAGTGTGATTTAGAATATGATGTTTTTAATGACTGTCTGTAATACTAATGTTGGAAACCGGCCTGAGTCCCTCAATGGAGGTGAGAAGACCGGTATACAAAACTCCTTAATAAATAAATAAATACAGGGGCTGCTCTAAGGGCCAGGTGTGTGGATGGGGGTGCGACTATTATGCAAGCAATAAAAAAAAATCTCAAGCAGAACCCCCAAAAAGAGGGGTGTGACTATTATGCCATGTTGACAATCCTTTTCATCAAGGGCCTTTGAAGGACCACTGAATCAATGGACAGAGAATCTGGGATACAGAGAACCAAATATATATGTTTACATAGTTTTTACCTAATTGACAATAATTCCCATCACTTTTGTCTTCCCAAGGACCAAGGCAGAGACATCTCCAGCTCATCCCCTGTTTGGGTATCAGCCAGCACGTCAATGACTTAAATCAAGAAATAGTTTTCTTAGATCTACAGAGACACTCGCTGGAACACCCCAGCAAGCGAGAGTCCAAAAGTGGCAGGCCCAAACCCAGCACCTCAATTCATGGGTGATACCAGATGAGGGACTCCCCCCTGGGCACACAGAAGACTGGGCGACTTGGAAGGCGCTGAACAGACTGCGCTCTGGCACCACGAGATGCAGAGCCAACCTTCAGAAATGGGGCTACAAAGTTGAATCCTCGGCATGCGAGTGCGGAGAAGAGCAAACCACTGACCACCTGCTGCAATGCAACCTGAGCCCTGCCACATGCACAATGGAGGACCTTCTTGCGGCAACCCCAGAGGCACTCTAAGTGGCCAGATACTGGTCAAAGGACATTTAACCAAATACCAAATTTGCAAACTCTGTGTGTTTTTTTCTCTTTTTCTTTTTAATCTGTGTGTTTGTTTTGTAATACAATGGTTGCTGATGACACGATAAATAAATCACTTTTGCTTAACCACCATGCAGACTGAGGATAAAGGGAATCTTAATTTATGGTTCTGAAGTTGGGGGAAAGGTTAAAGGATATTTTGAAGTCAGACATCATCTGCACAAATTCAAACCCCACGCTCCTAACTAAACAAACCAAGCTGCCGCCATCCAGATGTTGCTGTATCCATACTCCCATCAACTCTAATCCTGATGTCTAATGATGAGGAAACACAGGGGTTGCAGTGCAGTCCCTGGAAGGCCCCATAAAAGGGCATGGTGGCGCTTTGAGGCTGAGAGAGCGCGCCTTGGCCTGGTTCTGAGCCCACTCACCCACCCCCCTTTCCCCGGAAGCGGTGACACCTGACAGCCTTAGCAGGGCGGAGGGAGAGCGAGGGCAAGGCGGCGCGCGACCCTGCCCTCCCCGCTCGCGCCGTCAGAGCACGCGCGTGAGGGGAAAAAAGACAACCGCAGCGGGCGAAGAACGGAAGGGGGGAATCGGCGCGCGCACACAAACAGAGACAGACACGAGCGCGCGCGCGCTCTCTCCCTCCCTCATACACAGAGCCCCCTCCCTCCCCGCGGCCCCGCCCACGACCGGCTCACCTCGCGAGCGATCTGGTTGAGGGCATCGTCCTCGGCAGCGGGCCTCTCGCGGTTGGGGAGCCTCTTCCGCCCTGCGGAACCCGGCTGCTGCTGCGACCCCATAGGCTCCATCTGCCCTGCCCGCCGCCGCCGCCGCCCCGTTCCGTTCCCTGTGCTTCTAGACTCCTCCGGCGTGAGGAGACGGGGCCGCCCACTACGCATGCGCACTCAAAAACGGGGGGGGCGCAAGGAGGCGGGGCCTGGGTGACGGAGCTCCGCAAGGGGCGGGGCCAAGGGAGGGAGCGAGGGCGCCACCTGTCGACAGAAAGGAGGAGCTGCCTTCTCTCTCTCATACAATCAAAGAGTTGGAAGAGACCTCCTGGGCACATCCAGTCCAACCCCCTGCCAAGAAGCAGGAATATTGCATTCAAAGCACCCCTGACAGATGGCCATCCAGCCTCTGCTTAAAAGCCTCCAAAGAAGGAGCCTCCACCACACGCCGGGGCAGAGAGTTCCACTGCTGAACGGCTCTCACAGTCAGGAAGTTCTTCCTCATGTTCAGATGGAATCTCCTTTCTTGTAGTTTGAAGCCATTGTTTCGCGTCCTAGTCTCCAGGGAAGCAGAAAACAAGCTTGCTCCCTCCTCCCTGTGGCTTCCTCTCACATATTTATACATGGCAATCATATCTCCTCTCAGCTTTCTCTTCTTCAAGCTAAACATGCCCAGCTCCTTAAGCCGCTCCTCATAGGGCTTGTTCTCCAGACCCTTGATCATTTTAGTCATGTTCAGATGGAATCTTCTTTCTTGTAGTTTGAAGCCATTGTTTCGCGTCCTTATGCAAGTTGAGCAGAATTACTCTGCTTCTCCTGTTTTTTTGTAATAGTCATATGGAGGGCAAAGAGCTATGCAGGTCTCTGGAAAAACCCCTTTTCCAATTACTGGAAAATATTATTCATTCTCATCTTTGTCTTCTTTATTAATTTAAAAGATATTATAGAGAATATAATTTTGCTCTGCATTTTTATTACTTTTAAACTCATATTGATGACTTTTGGGTACTGAGCTGTACTTTGAACTATTTATTTAATTATAGATGGTGAGGAGACATCTGCCTATTTTTTAGGTGGCAAAACAGTCATAGAATCATAGAATCAAAGAGTTGGAAGAGACCTCATGGGCCATCCAGTCCAATCCCATTCTCTTCTTCAGGCTAAACATGCCCAGCTCCTTAAGCCGCTCCTCATAGGGCTTGTTCTCCAGATCCCTGATCATTTTAGTCGCCCTCCTCTGGACACATTCCAGCTTGTCAATATCTCTCTTGAATTGTGGGGCCCAGAATTGGACACAATATTCCAGGTGTGGTCTAACCAATGCGGAATAGAAGGGTAGCATGACTTCCCTAGATCTAGACACTATGCTCCTATTGATGCAGGCCAAAATCCCATTGGCTTTTTTTGCCACTACATTACATTGTTGGCTCATGTTTAATTTGTTGTCCACGAGGACTCCAAGATCTTTTTCACACATACTGCTCTCAAGCCAGGCATTGTCCCCCATTCTGTGCTTTAGTCTTGTGGACCTTTTCCCTACAGGTGTTGGCTGTTTGTTTGAATTCTTCTTTGGTGATTTCTCCCTTTTTCCACTTCTTGTGCATGTCCCTTTTGTGTTTTAGCACAGTTAGAAGTTCTTTGGACATCCATTCTGGTTTCTTTGCACTTGTCCTATTTTTTCTCTTTGTTGGCACAGTTTGCAATTGCGCCTTGAGTATTTCACTCTTGAGAAACTCCCATCCATCCGTAACTCCCTTGTCTTTTAGTATCTGTGTCCATAAATGCTGCTCTCTTCTCATACTTCTCTCTACTTCATTTAGCCACAAAACACATGCCACAGAGAAAAACTGTCTACCAGTGCTATTACCTGAAGACACTATATTATCATATTACATCTCACACACTGCTAGATATCTATCTATATATATATAAATGCTCTGGGCATAATGAGTACCTTAAAAACAAAAGAACAAATGAACGAAATCACATCAAATTTGGCAACAAAACGTCTCACAACACAAGGAGTGACCATCACTCAAAAAAATATGATTTTGTCATTTGGGAGTTGCAGTTGCTGGGATTTATAGTTCACCTACAATCAAAGAGCATTCTGAACCCCACCAATGATGGAATTGAACCAAACTTGGCACACGGAACTCCCCTGACCAACAGAAAATACTGGAAGGGTTTGGTGGGCATTGACCTTGAGTTTGGGAGTTGTAGTTCACCTACATCCAGAGACCACTGTGGACTCAAACAATGATGGATCTGGACCAAACTTGGCACAAGCACTCAATACGCCCAAATATGAACACAGATGGACTTTTGGGGAAAATAGACCTTTACATTTGGGAGTTGTAGTCACTGGGATTCACAGTTCACTGCACCCCCGGTGGCGCAGTGGGTTAAACCCTTGTTTCGGCAGGACTGAAGACCAATAGGTCGCAGGTTCGAATCCGGGGAGAGGCGGATGACCTCCCTCAACTGGCAAGGCATTCCATAAATAAGGGGCCACAATTGAGAAGGCTCTCTGCCTAGTAGAGGACAAATGATAAGTCCGGATGTTGGGGACTTCAAGCAAATTTTGGTTCTCAGACCGAAGTAATCTTTGGGGTTGGTAGGGGATATATATATATTCCAGCATTTAATGGACTAGTTTGCAAAAGTGATGCAGCAAGGAGTAACAAATTATATATATAATGACCAAGTAACAACAGTAAGAACTGACCATGGAAAAACAGACTGGTTCAGGATTGGGAAAGGCGTATGGCAGGGCTGTATACTCTCACCCAACCTATTCAGCTTGTATGCAGAACACATCCTGCGATGTTCGGGGCTTGATGAATGCAAGGCTGGGGCGAAAATTGCTGGAAGAAACATTAACAACCTTAGATATGCAGATGATACCACTATGATGGCCGAAAGCAAGGAGGAGCTAAGGACCCTTCTAATCAAGGTGAAAAAAGAAACCGCAAAAGCTGGGTTGCAGTTAAACATCAAAAAAATCAAGATTATGGCAACAAGAATTATTGATAACTGGGAAACAGAGGGAGAAAATGTGGAGGCAGTGACAGACTTTGTATTTCTAGGAGTGAAGATCACTGCAGACACAGACTGCATCCAGGAAATCAGGAGACGCTTACTTCTTGGGAGGAGAGCAATGTCCAATCTTGATAAAATAGTGAAGAGTAGAGACATCACACTGGCAACAAAGATCCTCATAGTTAGAGCAATGGCATTCCCCATAGTCACCTATGGATGTGAGAGCTGGACCATAAGGAAAGTTGAGTGAAGGAGGATAGATGCTTTTGAACTGTGGTGTTGGAGGAAAGCTCTGAGAGTGCCTTGGACCGCAAGAAGATCCAACCAGTCCATACTTCAGGAAATAAAGCCCGACTGCTCACCAAAGGAAAGGATAGTAGAGGCCAAAATGAAGTCCTTTGGCCACATCATGAGAAGAAAGGAAAGCTTAGAGAAGACAATGATTCTGGGAGAAATGGAAGGGGCTGACCAAGGCCAAGATGGATGGATGGAATCCTTGAAGTGACAGGATTGACCTTGAAGGAGCTGGGGTAGTAACAGCTGACAGGGAGCTCTGGCGTGGGCTGGTCCATGAGGTCACGAAGAGTCGGAAGCGACTAAACGAATGAACAACAACTATACACACACACATATCTGTGCATTGGAGCCTCCAGTGGTACAGTGGGTTAAACCACTAAGCTGCTGAACTTGTTGACCAAAAGGTCGCAGGTTCGAATCCGGGGAGTGACATGAACTCCTGCGGTTAGCTCCAGCTTTTGCCAACCTAGCAGTTGGAGAAAATGCAAATGTGAGTAGATCAATAGGTACCGCTTCTACGGAAAGGTAATGGTGCTCCATGCCGTCATGCCGGGCACATGACCTTGGAGGCATCTACGGACAACGCCGGCTCTTCAACTTAGAAATAATGTATATATTTTTGTTCTTTTCTTCTTTCCTATTTTCCTACCTTCCTATTACCAGTATTGTTTCCCCTCTTTACGTGTCTGCAAGCATAAATGTTAATCAATAAAAATTATACTTAAAAAAAGCAACCTGTGTATGAGGCAGGACTAATACCTGTTATTCATCAGTCAGGTATACACTGAAATGTTGCTTTGCAAACTAGTCCATAAAATGATCAAAATAAATATAATGTATATTTATTATTATTATTATTATTATTATTATTACTATTATTATTATTTACCTCTTGCCACATACTGATGTGAGGTACACCATGGTTAAAACATATATACCAAATTACATAACATACCAACAGATGGCCCATGAGGTCTCTTCCAACTCTTTGATTCTATGATTCTATGAATACAAATTTAAAATTTTCAGTTCAAAATGTTAGGAAAATATACACAAGATGGAGCACATTTCTTTCCTCTGTCGCACTTCACAGTCTGTTAACTCAGTCCATAAAATGAAACAATATGTCATAAAAGAGCTTCCTCAAGAAGTGATTGTCCATAAACTTGCACAACTGTCCCAATTCAATATTTCTTACACATTCCCAAATCTCTAAGGAATTATTACATGCACATCAACCCACTTTAGTCTGTAGACTTTCTAAAATGTTCCTCTATATTTTCAACATGCTTTCTTCTCTTCCTAGTTCTCCCTCCATAAAAGGTTAGGAAATTGAAATCCAAAAATATCTCTCATCACAGACAAAATGTTTGTCTTAACCTTCTTTGAAGAAAATATTGGTCTGTATCACAGAGCCACTAAGTAACTTGGCACAATCAAGAACAGGATTAGGATAACAGAGTCACACTGGGTCACAAACAAAGTTGCCTGACAAGAAAATTATTTACTGCAGGAAAAAAGAAGCCACAGAGAAGATCAGTAACCCTGACTCTTGGAAACCTATATTAATTCCATGGGGGGCATGGAATTAATTAACCAGGGATCATTTCAGTCCCTAGAAGACATACATGGAGATCATACTATGTTTAGCAGTTTAACACGCGTCTTCTTTGCCCAGAATCCTATTTATGGCTCTCAAAGAATGCAAGGGGAATTGTGACACAACTGCACACAGAAATGGTGTTATCTCCTCATCCTCCATGCTTTCTTCTAGAATCTCTGCTGCTTCTGATGGTACTCATTGCTTCCACATGAATGTCTCCATATTAATTGTC